CTTTCAGAACCAAGTTGAAGCTCAATGATGCCACCTCTCACATCAATAATTGCTCCTGCTGTGGCCAAGAATGGCCTGCCTAAAATAAGAGGGTCAACTGGTTCCTCATCCATCTCTAGCACAGTAAAATCAGTTGGAACCTCAAAACCACCTATCTTGACAGGCAGATCTTCCAACATCCCAACAGGTAATCTAACTGATCTGTCTGCAAGGACAAGAGAGATCCTAGCAGGTTTGGCATTATTAGAAATGCATCAATAAGAGGCATTGTGAGTGGTGTCTCATTGAGTGCATTCTCAAATACAGTTCTTGCCTTATCTACAAGCTGCTTCTTGAATCTCCCTGGAAATGGGAGCTTGGGTTGGTATGGAGGTGGTGACACATATAGCTTTTCTGGTTCAGGTTCCTTTTCCACCTCTTTACCCTTTTCTTTCCTTGATCCTTCAGCAACTTGATCATCTTTTAAGGCTGCCTCCCCCTCAGTTTGATCATTGTCCTCAATGATTACATTGTTGTGCTCAATACCAGGTAGCTCTTTGCCACTTCTCAGTGTAATGGCTTTAGCATATTCCTTGGGATTGGGTTCAGGCTTACCAGGTAGTTGGCCTTGGTTCCTTGAGCTAGAATCCTGATTTTACTTCAATTCCTTGATGTCCTGCTGCATGGATGCATACTGGCTTGCAAACACTTGTTGACCCTGAAGCAGCTATTGTAGAATCCCAACCATATCTGACCCCATCTGTGGCTGCTGGTGAACAGGTGCTGACTGAAACTGATGCTGAACCGGCGCCTGCTGCTGGAACTGTGGTGGACCAAACCCTAGTGGTGCCTTTGGCTGATGTTGTGAACTGAAACCAGAACTCTGAAGTGGTTGCTGATGCTTACTGTAACCCTGATTCTGAGCAAACTGATTCTTTGGTTGAAAAGACCCTTAAAAGTTGTTCTTGGGAACAAAATTCTGTGGAGTTTGAGAGGTAGGGTAGACTTGGTCTTGTGGGTTTGCTACATTGGGATTCTTGTAAGAGAGGTTCTGATCGGCATTGGCATACTGATATCTTTGGAACCTCTGATTCCCAATATAGTTTAGCTCTTCCTGAGTAAGACCCTCTTCACTGATGTTCTCAAAGCATTGAGAAGGTTCCTCATACTCTCCTACAAAGTGCATTGGATTTTTGAGTAGCCAATAACACCTTGTCCAGCTTGCTTTCAAGTGTTTAAAGTCCTTCTCATACCTTTGATCCCTACTTGAACTCTCACTCCTATTGGCTCTATCAAAGTCTTCTCCATATGTATCATTGCTCATTGCTAAGTTATCAACCAGCTCTAAAGCAGCATGAATCTCCTTCCCCAGAAATTTTCCATTGGAGGCAGTAACCAGCTGGTTCCTAATCTTGGGAAGAGCCCCTCTATAAAGTGTGCTGAGAAGAGAAGCTTTACTAAACCCATGGCGTGGGCACTAGTTGGTGTAGCTCCTAAATCTCTCATATGCTTCACCAAAACTCTCATTGCTATGTTGAGTGAAGCTGGAGATTTGGTTTCTTAGCTTTGCTTTTCTTGAAATAGAGAAGAACTTAGACAGAAATGCCTACTTGCATTGCTCCCAGGTCTGAATGGAGCCTCTTGGGAGATTCTTCTCCTATTGGTGAGCTTTGTCACCAAGACTGAAGGGAAATAATCTGAGCTTGAAACTGTCCTCAGATACTCCATTTATCTTTGTCAAGTCACAAACCTTATCAAATTGGTCCAAGTGTTCCAAAGGATCTTCCATTGCCAATCCATGGAACTTGGAGTTTTGGACTATATTCAGCAAAGATGCCTTGACTTCAAAATTGTTGTTTTGCACAGGTGGTGTTTGAATTCCAGCTCCATACTGATGAGCATTGGCCCTGTCATTCTCTCCTACATAGACCAGTGGCTGCTCATATCTCCTTGGTTGGTTTTGGAAGTGTTGATGGTGGTGAGCCTGTTGTCTTTGCTGTACATTGGCCTGATGCCTTTGCTGATGAGCTGGAGCTTGTCCCTGGTGGACATAAGCTTGCTGTTGATGCTCTTGTTTCTGCTGAACATTACCCTGATGGAACCCTTGACCAGCTCCATTACCAGCTGCATTACCAATTCCATTACCCGGCTGCACCTGAGCCTGTTGCCCCTCTTGAGCCTGCGGCTCAATGTCAACCACATGCTGTCTTTGATCTTCCATATCAGCCTGATCAGTCTGTCTTCCACGCCTATCCCTTCTCCTTCTTGGAACCAAAAGATTAATGTTGTCGTTTAAGGGGAAAGGTGGACCAATGCTTCTTGATCTGGACCTAGTGTTCATGCACCTGAAACTCACAACTAGAACTTGAAAGAAATTAGAAAACACAAAAGAAAATGCTTGATCTCAAGAAATGACACAATCTTAATGCTATCACACTTTGGCAACAGCGCCAATTGATAACTAGAGGTTTTTAAGGCTCTAAATGAAGGGTTATCAATCCTTTTTGTCACTTTGCAGTACAAAGGGTATCAATCCATCAGGTGTAGACACTAAGATGCAGGATCAGTTCTTAATTCAAGCCAAATGAGTGAGGTTTTGATGTTACTTCCACTAAACAAGCTTAGAACAAGAATTCAAGCTAATGATCAACTTAAACAAGCAAGTAAATAGACTAAATGAGATGAGAATGTATGTATGATGATGAGAAAGGTCTTAGACAGGATAGTGGATTAGGGTGCCTTTGATGCTAAACTAGTGAGCTAATGAATCATGTGATCAAGCAAACCATTCAACTTAAACATCATTAACTAAGCTAATCCTCTCATGAAGGCATTAACTTCTATGCTAAAACAGTTTCTAACCTAATCATCATTAGTGAAACATGAGTTAACAAGCATTGAGAATTAGTTTAATCTGTCATTTAAGCATATAAACAATCATTCCCATGATGAAAAATACTTAAACCTCTAACAACCTTGGTTCAGGCATTTCATCAAACACTTTTGGTGCATGATATGCCCAGAATCTAGACCACATATGATGTGTATGGATCTAGCATAGAGAACAGGTTGTAGAGAATGGAATATGAATGATCTAATCCCTAAGCTCACTAATCTAGCTCCCAAGCACCCTAATCTACATATCTAAGACCTTAATATGGGGATTACTCACTAATCATAATCAACACACTAAATCCTTTGCAAGATGTGTTGTTAATCTTTATTACAAGTGTGAAAATGAAGATGGATCAGATAGATGATGATAAGAAACAGCTTTAAACACTCAAAGATCCTTGATTCTCTCTTGATTCAAACTCACAAAAGCAGATATTTCTCTTCTAAGGAGTTCTTTCTCAAAAGAGGCAAGAAACAAAAGGAATAAAGCTTAAGTCTTGGGGTAAAACCCTAAAAAACTATATATAGGTCTTAAAACGAACCATGTCAGCCCGGAACAAACCGGGTCCTGAACCGGCTTTAATGGGTAAAATGACGAGTTGGTCCTCCTTTAGTCCCAAGTCGCATGCCCAACTCGCACAGGCCTAGAAAGAAGCTTCAGCGAGATAAAACTATGTAGGCTAAGCCGCATTCCTCTCTCGGTGTAAAACGCGAATCTTCATGCGGTTCAGTTCCCTTTGCTCCTTAACTCGCAGAACCATGTAGCACAGGGCTTCAGAAATATGTGCGGGATGGTCTTCATCACTCCCAAGTCGAAAGCCCAAGTCGGTGTAAACAGCGAACGTTTCTGCGGTTCAGTTCACTACTCGGCTAACTCGCATGACCAAGTCGCACATTTGTGGACTTAGTATTTTTTCCTGCTCTGGAGCCTTTGACCTCATCCAGGGTTACCTTACCCGCACACCTCAACACGCAGCTCTAGTTCCAGAAATTATCCTTCAGGTATTGCGAGTTAACCGAGTCGCAAGACTATCTCGCAGGCTTCAGGTCTCTTTGGACAACTTCACATTCGGGGGAGAGTAATTCCCAGGATATTGGTCCAACTGGCGCGATTTCAACTTCAGTGGAAAGAGCACTCAGATATCTTCAACTTTGGTGAAGGAACCTTCGGCGCTTGGGAAGTGGAAGGTTCCCCGGAGGGCTTATCTTCGCAGTGCATTGACACGGTCAGAAAGAGGCTTCTAGACATGCGTCCATTCCGGAAACGTTATCTTCTTGCTCATAGCTCCAAATTGAATGATCACAAACGTTCTGGAAATAGGACTCAAATATCTCGAATCTTGATGAAGTTCCTGTAGACTGAATCGATCTGGAAGTGCATCGTCCTTCGCAATCTTCGGAGCTCATCGAGTCGGTCCAAAACGGTAGCGAGACAGGCGTGCCTTCCGGTGAGCTTTACTCTGTGCTCACGCCTCCAAATCCAACGATTCCACCTGCTCTGGAACCATGATCTAATCCTCTCCAACTTTGATGAATCACCCGACAACTGAATCGACCGGCGAGACCTTCCGGTAACGCGATTTCGGAGATGTGTCTGTACCCAGAAATTTTGGTCGAGAAACCTTGACAGCGGTACGTGTTTTGGCCGAGAGGCTCACTCGCGGTACATGAATAACGCCGAGAAAAGTTTCATGCGGTACGTGAAAATCGCCGAGAACCTCCAAAGACCCATTTTCACCATCTTTCAAGCTCTGATCACCGTTTCTTTTCCTGGTTTCACCTTTTCAACTCCAAATAGCTCCAAATACACCTGATAAACACTCCAAACATGCAAAAACTCATTGGGACCTAATGCAACTCCTAAGTCCTAAAACAACACCTAAGGACCTAATATGCATGGGAAATAACATGATTTGGAATGAAATATACAACCTACATGATGCAAATTATGAACATATCAGTGGGAGAAAAAGATAGAGCTGGTCTTCGGGTGTCAAAACTTCTCCGAGCAAAAGAAGATGAATTTGGCCGCGACTGAGTTCCACATTTACGCGATTGACTGGTGGGACCAGGTGGTGACTAACTGAAGGAGAAATAGGTTCCGACCTATTTCAACCTGGGATGACATGGCGGCCCTGATGAGCCACAGGTTTGTTCCAGCACAATATAACCGGGAGCTGCTCACTAGACTCCGACGGTTGACTCAAGGAACAAAGACCGTGGAAGATTATTTCCAAGAGATGGAACGACTTATGCTAAAGGCCGATGTGGATGAAACAACGGACGCGACCATGGCCCGATTTCTAAGTGGTCTGAACCGGGATCTACAAGACCGAATGGAGCTACAGAAGTACGCGAGCTTACCCGAGATGTTGCACAAGGCCATATCGGTGGAACAACAGCTCAAGAGGAAGGGAACCTCTCGGCCCGCCTATGGAACTAGCTCCCGGCTGAACTACCAAGAAGACAAGACCACTTATCCAGCCCGGTCCGATACGCGGTTTAAACCAGAAACCAATCCAAGTTCCTCCACAGCCGATTACCGAGGAAAAGCCGAGGGTACACCGGCTAGGACGCGAGACATCGAGTGCTTTAAATGCCGAGGTAAAGGGAATTACACGAATAAGTGTCCTAATCAGCGTGCCATGTTGATTCTTGATTCAGGTGAGATCGTGTCTGAGGGAGAAGAAGACACTGGTCCTAAATATGATGATGAAGACGCTGAAAAATATGCGGCCGAGGGAGAGCTGTTAGTTGCAAGGCGAGTTCTACTAGCCCATGAACCGGTTAAAGAGGAAGACCAAAGGGAGAACCTGTTCCACACGCGGTGCCATGTGATGGGCAAAGTTTATAGCCTTATTATCGATGGAGAGAGCTGTACGAATGTCGCTAGTACCACTATGGTGGAGAAGCTCGGCCTGGAAACACGCAAGCACCCTCAGCCCTACAGCCTCCGATGGTTAAACAATCAAAGACAGCTGAAGGTGACCAAACAGGTGTCGGTACCCTTGTCCATTGGCCGATATGAAGACCAAGTTGTTTGCGATGTATTGCCTATGGAAGTGGGTCATATCCTTCTAGGCCGTCCATGGCAGTTTGATAAGAAAGCCATCCATGCTGGATTCACCATCAAGCACACGTTTGAGCACCATGGCCGAAATATCACCCTGGCGCCTTTATCACCGCGAGATGTTTATCTAGACCAGATGAAGCTTGAGCAAAGTAACAAAGGAAAGAGTGTAGTGAGCGAACCCCCAAACACCTCCACTAAAAATGAAAGCCTGAGAGAACCCCCAGAAAAGGCCTTTCAGGGAACACTCGTGAGCAAAGAAACTCTTTTCGTGAGACCTTGTGAGCTTAAGCACGCGGTGCACACCAAACAATCTCTCGTCCTACTAATGTTTAAATCTGCTTTGGCTAGCCTAACTGACCCACAGCCGGATTTTCCGAGCAGTGTCTTACCCCTTTTGCAGGAATTTAAAGACGTTTTCCCCGATGAGAGCCCAGCGGTTTACCACCCATACGCAGGATTGAACACCAAATAGATTTTGTTCCTGGTGCTTCTCTGCCTAACCGGCCCGCGTACCGAGCTAGCCCTGTCGAGACCATGAAGCTACAAAGACAGGTCGGGAACTCATGGAAAAAGGACACATTCAGGAGAGCATGAGTCCTTCCGCGGTCCCGGTCCTGCTCGTTCCCAAGAAAGACGGATGGCAAATGTGCGTTGACTGCCGGGCCATAAACAACATAACGGTAAAATATCGACATCCCATTCCCTGTTTGGATGATTTGCTTGATGAACTTCACGGGTCTTGCCTATTTTCTAAGATAGATCTAAAAAGCGGATATCATCAAATACGGATGAAGGAGGGAGACGAGTGGAAGACAGCCTTTAAGACCAAGCACGGTTTATACGAATGGCTTGTTATGCCTTTCAGTTTGACTAACGCGCCCAGCACCTTTATGCGGCTCATGAACCATGTCTTTCGATCTTTTATTGGTGTCTTTGTTGTCGTATACTTTGGCGACATCTTAGTTTACAGCAAAACCCTGACCGATCATTTAGAGCACTTGCGAATGGTACTAGAGGTACTTAGGAAGGAACGACTCTTTGGTAACCTGAAAGAGTGTACCTTCTGTGCAGACAGTGTCCTTTTTCTAGGTTTTGTTGTAGGAGCTAACGGAATCCAGGTGGATGAAGAGAAGATTAAGGCCATTCAGGAGTGGCCTAGTCCTAAGACCGTTGGTGAGGTCAGGAGCTTCTATGGCTTGGCCGGGTTTTATCGACGGTTCGTCAAGGACTTCAACACACTCGCCGCCCCACTCACTGAGGTCATAAAGAAGGATGTTGGTTTTACATGGGATGCGGCCCAGGAAGAAGCTTTCCAGCTTCTAAAAGACAGGCTTACTCACGCCCCTTTACTCTCTTTACCTGATTTACTAAAACTTTTGAAATCGCGTGTGATGCTTCAGGTATAGGTATCAGTGCGGTCTTGACTCAAGAGAAGCGGCCCATAGCTTACTTCAGTAAAAAATTGGGCGGAGCCACATTAAACTTCCCCACGTACGACAAGGAACTCTACGCCTTCGTTCGCGCTTAACAGACTTGGCAACACTATCTCTGGCCAAAGGAGTTTGTGATCCACACGGATCACCACTCGTTAAAACATCTTAAGGGGCAACAAAAGCTGAACAAACAGCACGCAAGATGGGTTAAGTTCATTGAAACCTTCCCCTATGTCATTCATTACAAGAAGGGAACGGAAAACATCATGGTCGATGCATTGTCTCGGCAATACAGCCTGATCTTCACTTTGGACGCCAAGATACTCGGCTTTGAGATGATAAAAGAGGCTTATGCTTCTGACCCCGATTACCAGGAAGTTTATCAATCTTGTTCTAAATTTGCTAATGGCAAATACTTTAGAAATGATGATTTTCTGTTCTATGAAAACCGATTGTGTATACCTAATGTTTCACTTCGTGATCTTTTGGTTAGGGAAGCACACGGCGGCGGTTTGATGGGGCACTTCGGAGTTACTAAGACCCTCAGCGTGGTCCAAGACCATTTCTTCTGGCCACACATGAAAAGGGACGTGGAAAGAATCTGTAACCGGTGTGTCACTTGTAATTATGCAAAATCCAAAAGCCAGCCACCAGGTATGTACACGCCCTTACCCATCCCTAGTTCACCTTGGTCCGACATTTCTATGGATTTTGTCTTAGGTTTACCGAGAACTAGGAAAGGACGAGACTCGGTATTTGTGGTTGTAGATCGGTTTTCGAAAATGGCCCACTTTATCCCTTGTCATAAAATAGATGATGCAGATAATGTAGCCGATCTGTTCTTTAGGGAAATTGTTAGGTTGCATGGTGTACCAAGAACCATAGTCTCTGATAGGATTACCAAGTTTCTCAGTTTTTTTTGGAAAATTATGTGGTCCAAGTTAGGTACTAATCTATGTTTTTCCACTACCAGTCACCCCCAAACCGATGGACAAACCGAGGTAGTGAATAGGACCTTGTCGGCCTTGCTTAGGTCTGTCATTAAAAAGAACCTCCGAACTTGGGAAGACTGTTTGCCACACATAGAGTTTGCATATAATCATTCTGTGTATTCTACTACCTTGTATTCTCCGTTTCAATTAGTTTATGGCTTTAACCCCCTTACCCTACTTGATCTTTTGCCTTTACCATTGTCTGAACATGTGAGCATGGATGATGCGAGCTAGGGTTCCTGTTGCAAAATAGTTTTAAATTTGTAAACCCTAGTGTCTGCAAGTCAAGAGCCGTGCGTTGTAGTACTTAGGGTGTCGATCCACAAGGAGAGTTGTCTTTTCTGCAGAAACTTCAAACTGGATTAGTAATCGAACTCAAAGACCAATGGAGGTTTTTGTGGGGTTTGTGTGACACTGAAAACGCAAAATAAAACAAGACTAAGACTCTACTAAAACAAATGTTGGGCTGACAGGGATATCTTAGGGGATATTCGATTCATGCTAGGGTTTTAAAGCTCATAGGTGGCGATTTAGACTTTTCCAAGTTACTATAATTGATGCGATCGTAAACGAGGTATTGGTTCGTTCTACTAAGCTTCAGTTTTTAAATTTATAACAAATGAAAAGCAAGGGTTGTAAGCAATGAAAGACAAACGTTGGGACTAGGCTATGTCGATTTTAAACAAGTGATAAAGGTAATCAACTACGTATGTTCTAGAACTCGAGGCACGGAAGTATGAATAGCCTACTTTCGCAGCACTAAACAACTATCTCTCGCAACCCTGATCAGTAGGTTTCCACTCGCAATAGCAGAACAAGACTCATCAATATTCACAACTCAACTACAGGTAGGTTTCCACTCCTATAGAATTATTGCTCGTTTCACCCTAGTTCAGACAATCAATGAAAGCTTTCGCAACATATCATATCAGATCGGCTTCTAAGTGGCCAGCAAAGAATCACGCAGTAAGATTAAAGGCAAACGAAGAACATCTAGAAGATTATAGATCCTAAATCTATCGATTCATTAGCAAAGACACACGAAATTCCCTTTGAAAAATCCCTTTAAACCCAACTGGGTAACTACTCAAACATATTGTAACAAAGCATCATAGAGTATTGAAAGTGCAGGAAATTAAAGAGAAGAGGGAAGAAAAACGAAGAACGGAGAAGCAGATGGAGGCGTGATGTCTTCCTCCAGCGACGGCTCCTCCTTCAAAGGCGGTGGCCTCCTAGGGTTTCTCACACGAAAATCTCTATCTCTCTCTCTAAGTTTATCTGTCCTTCGATTCTCCTCTTTAGAATGACCTAAAGAGGGTATTTATAGCTTCTGGGGTGGTCCTGGACACTTAGGGCTTCAAAAATAACGAAAGGAATTGATCTGGGATTTAATTAAGTCGTCTAGAAAGTGAACGACCAAGTTCCACGGTCGCGGTGGCTCTACCCGCGGGAAAATGGGTGTTGGACGCGGTCCCGGCTCATGGCTCTCTTCCGGAACTGCATTTTCTGTCATTCTTGCATTGGATTGTCTAACCGTTGGATTGTCTCCAAACCAGGTGCATTAGAAAGCTGGTTGGATATTCTATGTTGTCTCAAAATATGGGGGTGATCAGACGGTGAGAAGGTCTTCATCGCTTGTCATACTTCTGACGGTCTGCATTTATCCAAAATTGCTCATTTGCCAAATTGCATATCTTTTGCCCAAGTTTCCTGTAAAGTCTTTTGAAACTCTAAAACATTGAAAACACTTTAAAAACCATTGAAAACAGAGTTAAAACACCTGCATAAGATACAATTATGATCCATAAAAGTGGTCAAAATACGGTGTTATCAATAATCGATGTATGATGGCATTTCCAATTAGCTTTTGGGCGATTTATGTTCATCTGTTTCTGAGATCTGCATGGAACTGGAATAGACATATATAAGATTAACCAACTCTCGTCATCTTAATCAACTAGTCACTTACCTCGGAAATTAACTCTCGCTCTCATGCCGCGAGTAAGATCATGCATTGGACATTGAATTCGTCTGCTCACATCTTCTCTACAGGTAGCTTTCGACTCCTTTAGCGACTATGTTCTTCTGAATCTTTGATCTGGCAATCTGATAAAACATTCTCGTGGCTATGATTCCTAGATTCAGTAGTTAGATCGCGAGTTTAACTACATGCATTAAGAACAACTTAGAAGAGATAAAACCTAGAATATGGCTAAGAAAACAACAGCAATCCTAATCGAATATGGAGCCCCCTTCGATGGATCCCTTAAACCCAACAACTAAATTACTCATACATGATTAAAGAGAACATAAGCAAATAAAATAGATAGCATAAACTTAATAGATGAAAAGAAACAACAAAGGTTCAAGAGAAGAATCTCTATCTCCCTAACCAAAACCTAAGAAACAAAAGTTTGGTGCCTCCCTATTAAGGGGAAAGGAGCACACCCAAAATAGGGTTTCTAATATAAATATTTATAGGTCTACAAGTATTTCTGGTCGTCCTTAGGGCTTTCTGTGAAGAGAAAATGAGTCGGGCTTGAAAATAGGCCATTGGGCCGTTTATGGGCTTGTTGCAGAATTGGGCTTCTCCGAGTATGTTAAATGATGTTCCACCGTGGGTGAAGGCTCTCAGGCGTGGCAAGGATGTTTTTCACCGTGGTCACGATCTCCTGGACCGCGTTGGTTTGCTTATGATGTCCAAACATCATTCCTACTCTTGATTCTTTTGCAAGACTGCAGAACATATCTTCAGTAAACTGGAAATAACTCATGTTCCAACCGTTGGATTGCCTCCAATCCAATTGCATTAGAAATCTGGTTGTCTTCTCTATCTTGTCTCCAAATTTGAGCTTGATCAGACGGTGAAAAGGTCTTCATAGGAAGTGAGTCTTCTGACGGTCCGAAATTGGCCAAAAGTAGATTTTTATCCAATTTGCATTGCTTTTGCCTAAGTAAACTGAAAAGTCTTTTAAAACTCCAAAACATGGAAAATACTTATCAAACCTTCAAAACTGATTGAAAAAACCTGCATAAGATACTGAAAA